AGGCGTCGTACCCCTAAACGGAACTGTACTACCTATCTTTTGGGTCGGAGTCTGATTCAATTTTCGAGTCTCACCGTTCTGACGCCAAGCCACTGGTGACTTAGCTGTAGACCTTACAGCACCCAGTTGGACAATAGAAGTTATCGGTCTAGCTGATGTAGACGGATTTTCATGTGTCTCAGCGGGACTATCCGGAGGATACGAAACGACAAAGGGGGCTGCTGCTGCTGCTGCAACTTTAGGGGCAGGCAAATGCGTCAAGTGGCTTGAGTGAGATGGAGATGTAGGAGAAAGAGGAAGGAGGGAGTCAGATGTCGCAGGAGTAGGAGAAGCTGAATCCTTACGGCCACTTGTATTATGACCGAGTTGGGAAGCATTAGACTGAGAAGCAGTAGGTTTAAGTGAGCATAGAGACCCCATTCTACGCTCCATAGGAGTAAGATCATGACAAAGGAAAAATTTTGCCTTCTCTAGGTACGCAGTGACACGCTCTCGATGAGTAAAGATTGTGTCAACTTCGATTGATGAAAACAATTTGACTAAGATGGGTGGATTTGTACTACGGGAGGACAAGCGTTTGGCATCAGCTATTTTATAGTTGAAACCACATGAATACAGGAAACTGGTCGCAACATCAATTGGCCGAGCAGATCGAGGAACTTTTTTAGCAGGAAGTTGTAAGAACGCTTCTGTCTATCACTAGATTCACTGGTGATCAGGTGAACAAGTGAGTCGGGACGCCTACATTCTTCAGAGGGAATATCGGAGATGTTCCCGTCGAATAAATGTCCAAGAATTGTCTGCAAAGAGCCAAACTTTAGCATAAATTCATTGCAGTGGTCAAGTGCAGACAGATTAAGCTGCCGACCAATTACAACGGGTGACGACTGACTAGTAATATCATCTGACTTAGATTTAGGTAAAGCTTCTGACTTACGTTTAGTTAAGCCATGTTTACTTACAAGAGCCGAGAGCTTACGTCGACCAGTGACTTTTGGTCTCATCTTGTCTCGAGGCAATTTGTGATTAAGAAAACTTCTGGCAGACAAGTTGACTAAATTTCAGCTAGGGGCTAACGATGTAAAAATAAATTACAACAGTTAAAGAGAAATCGGATGCACAAAATGAGAATTGCAAAGTGCGATTAGTGAACAACGGGCATAGACTAGCAAAACTCGAAAGGAGATGGCAGCGGGCAGTTCTTAGAGAAAAGGCCTGTATTTAAGGAAATTCAAACAAAAACAGGTACTAAAATCGTTAGATCTCACAGAAAAACCACTAAAAATAATATCCTCCACTTATCTTCAAATTTAAAACCCTCGTGTGGTCTCGAAACCAATCAACGCAACTCCTTTCGCTGATTGGTAACACGGGCGGGCACAAGAGACCAGTGGAGTACACAACCTAAAACATGCATACAACACCTTCCTGGTTGCAGCGATAAACAGCAAGACACCGCGACTGACGCGCTGCCGAACGGACGCTTAGCTTTGTCACAAGGCAACAGCTAAATCACGGCGACTTGCCTTTTTTACAGAATAAACCAATCCTCACAACTTCCTGACTTCTGATATTAGAAGGAGCAAAGTTGTTGTATGTGGTTTGAGTTGATTTTACATCCTTGATCGCTACCATCTACATCAGCCAAATCACTGCGCCATGGTTGTCTTTAAAGCACTTTGAATGATCGGGTTTACCTCCCGAAAATTTAAAACTAACACCATTATTACCTGCCGTTGTAAAATGCAGCTGAACCTGACCTGAAATACTGCTCATTTATATTTAGCCGCCTGTGTGATGCTGAGCGGAAGAAAGTGAAATCCGTCCAGCATTTTTTACCGAAAGAGTATTATTCTCGGATCGACGACATTTGATGTACCAAGAACGTTGCGGACCAACAAGCCTTAATGTCTTGTGGTTGCACTGATTACAAAAGGGAGTCTTTTCATTGTTAATGCGTTAAACAGTTGTACTTTTAATCCGCTTACCGTTTTGAAGCATCTTGATCACTCCGGCACAACAATCACCTCGAGGCCCTTCTGTTTGTTCCACTGACACATGCCGCTAAGTATAGTCAGTTTTTTAGTGAACACAATTGCAGTCTGAAACAAGTTCCTCAGGAATATGCAAATTTTGCATAACTATTCTTTGTTTTGTCAAACTGTCATTCGTTTTCTGCATGCAGAAAATTGTCCCAATTTTGTGGTTCTGAATCTACCGAATTAAACTTTCGGAGTGATTGAGTTCGCGGTCACTGATCCCCCTCTCTGATCTCATTTTGTAAGGAATGGTGTTGAATCTGCAGCCCACAACACTACTGATAACTTCTTCAGCCGACAGTGAACAAATGTTCACCAATGCGCCCTGTTTTGGGCGGCCCAAACTTCATGTAAAGAAATAGACCCAGGAAAAGAATAAAGGCTGAAACGCCCGTTGCAATGTCAATCGTTCCTTTTTTGGACTGCCATCATTTTGAGAAGTAAAGTTTTTCTCCTGAACCATCCAAACTATCCAGAAACACTACCACCTGTATTTACTTCTTCTGGAGCACTTCCACAGCTATCCCCATACGTACTCTATATTTCTTCACCAATGCCTGTAAACTGGTACTAAGCACTCTTGTCATTATTATTCGATTTAATGCAGAGACTCGTGGAATCTAATATTAGCTTTTAGAAGTATGCTTGCCTTACACTTTGTTCACATCATACCTCCCCACGTCTCCTTATGCCCGATGGACAAATAAGATGAGATAACGTTTGCTTTTCTCGACGTCATTACATCGTCTGTGAAGGCAATACCTATACTAGGGGTACTCGAAGACGCTGAAGTGTTGCCGGTTTTGTATTTGTTTTGCTGCTGTCAATGAATACTGCCTGTCAATCGCACCTGCAAACTACAATCCCATAAAATACTTGCTGTTATAAATGAGAGGTTGTAGTTTGATTAAGTACGGTGCTCATTGGTCTTAGAGAAAAACAGGGTCCCTGGAGATCCCCGTCATCTTACTTAGACTATTTTAGCTGTGCCTGCTGAATCGAAATTAGGAGGTGACATATGGCGCCTCCGATTCAGTAAGTCACTTGACCATGATTTTCAGTCACTCTTTACCGGAGCCAGCCTTACTTGCCTCCTAACAACCGTATTTTACGAGAAGCAAACATTCACGGGCACTGTCTCTTGTCGGTGTTCTCCAATATGGCTCTGCTGTTCCCAGGATTCAGTTTATGCTCTTGTTGAATGTTTAAACTGGGATCCAGCCTATCTTTTGGGGCGGAGGTCGGCCTGATTGTAAGTGACTTCTCTGGAGAGGATAATATGCTTTGGCCCAGCTAAAGTTCCTTTCTCCGTACTCCGTCCGAACCTTTTTTTGAATACTAACTTGTCAGGGGCCGCAACTCTAAGTACATGTCCAATTTTGTTTTCACTTTCATTTTCATTTTTCAACCGAAGTTGTCTGTATCCATTTCTGGATGCTTTAAAATACACATGTCAACATTTTTCGCCCTGTGCCATCTCGTCTTCTAATACATCAATAAAAACAAATAAATTGTATTTTTAAGTACCCATTAGGGTACTACCACGGCAAGTAAAAACAAATTCTACAGATAATTCTAGAAAGAGTAGACATGCTTTGTACCGTATTCAGATCATACATCGGAATACTGGTTAGTGAGTGGTGAAGAAAAGAAAAAAAGGAACATGAATTTATTAGCCTTTAAGTAGGAAAAACTTGCGCTCAGGAGTGAGTAACTATGAGGGTCGGAAATGGCTGGCCTGCATATGGTAGTGTATGAGGTATTTAAATCGAATTTCGTCAAGGCAGAATTCCCAAACCAATTGAGGCAATCCGTGTCAAAGTGGCAAGACAAGAGAGACCCATGCGCGATCGGTCGCAGTCCGCTTAGAGTCCAACCGAAAAGGGGACATTAAAGGATGGGACAGTCATCGCCACTTCGTTGAGAGGATTTATCTGGGATGACATCGCGTTCTGTGAAGGACACGAGGAATGGACTGAAAAGTCAAATCTCGCAGTTGTTTTGAGTTTGTGTTCCCCAAACCACAGATATATGCACAAATGTTCTAGACGGCCTCCAGGTGTGCCCGGATTTTCTGACTCATTTTCACGTTTTCAGGTTTTTGCGCACCTATAAAACAACCTCCATCAGATGGAACAATCTTGGACTCCTTTGGAGTTACCCAAGAGGACTCTTGTTTTCTAAAATGTCGCAGACCTCTCTTTCAATGAGTCTGAGAAGAAACTCTTCTTTGGTGCTTCTTTCATTCATTTTCTCCGACATCCTTCGTAAGTTCAACACAGCGTCCACCTTGAGCTGTGTCTATCTGTTGAAATTATTTAAAAGTGTCATTTACTGTTTTTACTATATGATATGTTACCTTGTTTCATTCCATTCTCTCATGCATAATCCTTGTATTATTTCGCGTTTCGAAACCTGATTTCGAATTTTCGATCTCCCAGTCCAATAGCCGCCCTTAAAACCTGCCGTTAATAAGATTTTGATCTGAACCAGCAATCCCTCCGTCCTTAAAAATTTACAGCAGGATTTCATCAAGAAGAACAAACCCCCTTCTGACCGCTTCTTTTTCCTCTAGTAGCGGCAGATATCGAGGCGATATGCTGAAAGGACGAATTTTTATAATATGAAACCCCTGACGCGTCATTGGTTGCCTCGTAAATGTAATCATAGTGCCCATTGGTCGCGTTATTTAATCGCGTTCTGTCTGCGTGCACGCGTAGTGTAACAGTCGGAGATCTGACCAGGGACCCGACCTTGAGTGTTGGAATGCACTGGACTCTTCATTCGTTTTGCATTGCAGGGTCTACGCCCCAGAAGTCGTGTGCCAACAAATAACTGTCAACCCCGCCCGATAAGTCGTTCTATCGTATTTTTTGTTCTTCCGTATTCTCGTTTATTAGATTTCCGTTTTTGTATATCCGAATAAACCTATATCTTTTTATCACCTTTGTTGTCCATATTATGTCCCGTACGCCTGTCCATCCCACTACCGTACACTCTGAAGTACAGGGCCTTTTAGATCGAATTTTCCAATCGACTGGACCGTCTGAGTTCAAGCTTCCCTCATCGCCTTCCTTGACTGCCCGTGGCCCGACGCCCGCTACTCGCTCGGTCGCTACAATGGTGGCAGCGGGCACCCCACCCGCCCCTCCCTCCGATGTCTCAGTTACCCTCGAACCACTCCCTAACCCCACGGTCGAGTACGCGTATTACCTAGGCCCCAGCCCCTTACTAGCCCCTGAGCCGTACGTTCCAGAGAGCAACATACGCGACTGGCTACGAGACCTAGATCTCTTTTTAGTCACGGTCCCCATTAAGCAACGCACATGCTATCTGATACGTTTCCTTTCAACCCCCACCCGTAAGCGTGCTTTCGACGCGGGAATCGACCACACAACTCCGTTCGGCGTAGCGCGTAGTATCGTTTTGCAGCTCTTCCACACACCGTCCTCTACAGGAATGGCAGCTGAACGATTCGCCACTCTAAAAAGGCACGTGACCGGTCTGTCGATGACTTCGCCAACCAGCTGTCCCACCTCGCCCTATCGGTGTTCCCCAACCTCCCCGCACCCGACCGTGACGCCCTTATCTTGCACCGTTTTATAACTGGCCTCAGCGATCCTGGCTCTACAGATATCCTTCTTCTCCCCCCTCCCAGTTTAACCGCTGTGATACAGCAGTGCCGATTATACACGGCTTACCACCAAGAACGCAGACCCCACCCAGTGCCCCTTACCGTTACACCTCGCTCAGAGTCCCGTCCACCCAACCGGAAGGCACACCTTACCGTACGGTTCCCACATCATAATCCGGGCTGTGAATACTGCGCGACATTTGGCCCAGATGCCCGCCACTGCGGCCACAATCCCCCCCCCCGTCAGTCGTCTCCCCATGACTTTATTGCCTTTTCTGATCCATCTTGCAACCACACGTTAACAGTTAATGTTTTACTCAACAACCACTCGTTACCTGCCCTAGTTGACACTGGTGATAATGCCTCCCTTATCAATGTTCATAATTTACCTCAAGAGTACCTTAGACTCATAAAACCGTCACCGAAAACCCGCAATTTACGAGCCGCTAAAGGGACTAGTATTCCTATTTCCGGTAGTATCACCCTCCGGTTCGTCGTCAACGACTCTACACTGACTTATCATTTCCTAGTGACTCCTGCTATCCCTTGGCCCATCGTTCTAGGACTTGACTTCCTCACAGATAACGATTGCACTATTTATACCCGGCGTAGACGCCTAGTGATAGACTCCTCCACCTCCCCGACTGTAACACCAATCCCGTCAGACGATCTCGACCTCGCATATAACGCCGTCCTCTCAGCTGCCGCCCTAGAGCCTACTCGTTTGAACGACGTCATACCTACCCTTTCAACAGTCGGCCCCGTCGCACATAAGCAACTAAGTGGCCTACTCGCTTCGTTTTCCGACCTGTTCTCTTGGTCCACAGACACCCTCGGCCGTACACGACTGGTACAACATATCATCGACACTGGTGACGCCAAACCCCTCTGGCAACCCCACCGGCGTATCCCTGTTCGTTACCGTGATGGAGTCAACAAACTTCTAGACGAGCTGATACGAACCAAAATTATCCAACCATCCTCCTCCCCTTTGGCTTCGCCCATTGTGTTATTTTCCAAGAAGGATGGTTCCCTACGCCTGTGTGTTGACTACCGCCATTTAAATGCAGTGACGGTGAGAGATTCATTTCCGTTGCCGAGGTTAGACGATACAGTAGATGCGCTAGGCCAGACTGCTTGGTTCTCAACCCTCGATCTCAAGTACTGGCAAGTGGAAATCCACCCCAACGACCGTCACAAGACGACCTTCACCGTCCCCCAGGGTTTATTTGAGTTCCAAACGCTCCCTTTCGGGCTATGCAACGCAGCAGCCACCTTCCAACAGTTAATGTACCTTGTACTCCGCCACCTCATCCCCTATAAATGTCTCGTCTATCTCGACGACATCATCGTATTTGGGCGTTCCGCAGAAGAGCACAATTCAAACTTACGGGAGGTTTTGGAGGCGCTCCAGGAAGCTGGCCTTACCCTCAACCCCACCAACTATCTTTTCCTCCGTTCCGGGGTTCAGTTTCTTGACCACCTTATTTCCCCCGGTCGTATCTCCCCACTACCAGACCGGATAAACACATACGTACGTGGCCGACCCCGACGAACCAAACGGAGCTGCGAAGTTTCCTAGGCCTCGCGTCGTACTACCGACGTTTCATCTGGGATTTTGTTCAGATCGCCGCCCCCCTGCACAAGCTAACCGAGAAAGGCCACCCTTATACATGGTCCGCCGACTGCGACACCGCATTCAACAACCTCCGTGCGCCATTATGCTCGACACCACTCCTATCCCTTCCAAACGTTGACGACGACGCTCCCCCGTTCAGCCTAGATACTGATGCAAGTGGATTCGCCATGGGGGCCGTCTTGTCCCAAGTCGGTAAGGACGGCATAAAACACCCTATCTGTTTCGCCAGCAACACGCTGACCAAAACGCAGCGTAACTACTGCACCTTCAGGCGAGAACTGTTGGCGATCATTATGTTCATTCGCCAGTTTAAACATCTCCATGTCGGCCGACGGTTTATTCTACGTACAGACCATCGTGCCCTACAGTGGCTGCGCTCCATCAAGGACCCGATGGACCAACTAGCCCGTTGGCAGGAGTTTTTACTGGACTTCGACTTTAAGTGCCAGTTCCGCACGGGGCACAAACAGGGTAACGCGGATGCACTGTCACGCCTTCCTAACACAACCAACCCGGTAGACGAACCTCACGACGCAGTCGTTAACGCTATTATGGTTGCCCAACCAACCTCTTACACCTGGTCCTCAGCCCAGAGCTCTGACCCCGATACAGCAATTATTTATTACCATTTGGCCCGAGGGCTATCCAAACCCACCGAACAAGCGATGCTCGGAACGAGCCAAAACGCACGTTTGCTGTTAAACCAATGGCCCCATCTAGTCGTCCTACACGATTTCTTTTTCTTCCGCGATCCCTCATCCCACCATCTACGTCCAGTGGTTCCTGGCTGTTTAGTTGACACCGTACTAGCCGACCTACACTCCGAGTTTGGCCATTCCGGCCAACGCCGGACAGAGCTAGCCGCCCGCACGCGCTTTTGGTGGCCGCAGTTGCGCACCTCCGTCACCCACTTCTGTCAATCATGTGCTACGTGTGCATCCTTCATAACGCCCCGCCCCGCCCCCCCCCGAGCCCCGATCCAACCAATGACCACCGGGTTCCCTGGTGAACGCGTCGGGCTTGACATCATCGGGCCGCTTCCCATCTCCATCCGCGGCTATGAATACGTCCTTGTCATGGTGGACTATTTCACCATATGGGTCGAGGCTACTCCCCTTCTCCGATAGAATGCAACCTCTGTCGCGAACGCCATCACGCGCACTTGAATAAGCCGCTGGGGTGCTTCGTTAGCGTTCCATTCAGACTGCGGCAGCAATTTTGACTCCCAGTTATTCAAGGGTGTCTGCGATACCCTCCGGATACCCAAAACACGGACCACACCTTACCACCCGGAAGGAAACGGCCTTGTGGAATGCATGAATCGAACGCTGTACAACCTCCTACTCCTACTCGCCATGAGCACGACTGGGACGTACACCTGCCCTTCTGTCTCTTTGCCTACCGTGGCTCCGTCCATTCCTCCACCGGTTTCACTCCCCACTACCTATGGACCGGACGAGACATACGCCTGCCGATCAACCTCCTTTACCCCTTACCCAGACCTGACGCAACCATCCCACACGATTACGCCACACGCTTACGCGAGATCATCCGCAGCGCACATAACGCGGCCCGGACGACTCTAGGTAGTTCATCACTCCATCAAAAGGAAGAGCACGACGGGCATTCATCCAGCGCTATGCATCAGATTGGCGACCTCGTCATGTATTACAACCCTTCACACCCCCGCTGAATGTCCGTCAAGTTCCATTACCCCTGGCAAGGACCCTTCGTCGTTTTAGACACCCCTGTAGCGGCCGAGGACGTCAACAATAGCACACACCAAAGTAAGAGAACGCTGATAAAAGATCTTGGCCGGGGTAGACCTGAACGGAACTGTTAGCATTCCTTGATACAAATCCATACACAGGAGAAGAAAGCATGTCGAATAAGGGATAAAGTGTAATATGATGAGATTGCACGGGGAAAACGTATAATAATCGTTATTGTACAGGAAGGATAGTTACATCTGTAGAATGACCTGTCTGGGTGGAGAGGCGATGCCAACATGCCAGTTAGTAAACCGGTGGGGAGCAACTGCAGGGAGCGGCCGAGCGGGTGCCGATGTAGTGAGGAGGCGAGCGGTACGGACGATACGTTACGTTACGGTACGACGAGGGGGGAGGGATTGGCAGAGGAGAGAGGCAGGGACACCGACTATCTTCACCGACACGCGACTACGCCATCTCCACCCTAGGTCCTTGCGCCAAAAGTGTTCACACATTCAAACAATTCTGTTCGCACCGAGGGGCATTACACCCCCTCGCCCACCACCCTGCTTATCCGTGACGCCATCTACCCCAACGCCCGCACCTTTACCGCACACTTTGATAAGCTTACGCCCTACCGAGGCCGCCTACCAACCTGCTCCCCCGACTCCTTACCCATACTCCCTGCTGACCAGGTCCCCCGATCGCTATCGAGGTCACCGTCACCCCACCCCTCGTCGATCTCAGCACTGAGGACAGTGCTCCACCTTTGGGGGGAGGGCTATATTACAGTCGGAGATCTGACCAGGGACCCGACCTTGAGTGTTGGAATGCACTGGACTCTTCATTCGTTTTGCATTGCAGGGTCTACGCCCCAGAAGTCGTGTGCCAACAAATAACTGTCAACCCCGCCCGATAAGTCGTTCTATCGTATTTTTTGTTCTTCCGTATTCTCGTTTATTAGATTTCCGTTTTTGTGTATCCGAATAAACCTATATCTTTTTATCACCTTTGTTGTCCATATTATGTCCCGTACGCCTGTCCATCCCACTACCGTACACTCTGAAGTACAGGGCCTTTTAGATCGAATTTTCCAATCGACTGGACCGTCTGAGTTCAAGCTTCCCTCATCGCCTTCCTTCACTGCCCGTGGCCTGACGCCCGCTACTCGCTCGGTCGCTACAGTAGGCGTCATTATCTTGTGTTAACGGCGTAAATCACGCGACGTGACTGCACTTGAGTGGCATTGCTTTTCAATGTAATCCTGTTGACTATCCTTATATTTCTGTCAACAGTGTATACCCAGGAGTGAAAGAGCACATGTAAACGTCGAATAAGGAAATATGATGATGAGGTTCGTTGTGAACTCGAAGAAACTGTTCGGAAAAGACACAGACTGGAACATACCTCGCAGAATGCTTTAGTTTGATGCAATTCGTCATGGGACCCCCGTGAATTTGAAGGGTACATGTTGCTTTCGGGCAATGCAGCGGAATTAGCCCATCCAAGGGAAACGTAAGAGACTGCAAGCGGAAGTAGTCGCTATATTCAAGCGGAAAATAGAATTGCTCAGAAGTTGCGAGAGTGAGCTCATAGATACAATATAACGCATTCTCGTTTGCGGTATCTTCTGGATATCTTTAGGTCTATTGTGGCCGAACTGTTCGTCGATCCAAGGACGTTTTGGGGAACATGTGCACGTAGGTTTGGCAAGGCAAAACCGTAGACTAATACATAAGATTATTGTCCTCACAGCAGAAAACGTGGCTACAAACGTAAATATTGGCGGCCTCTCACTTTATAGAAAATCAAGGACCGAAATATAGCCTATTTTAGGAATAGCTGTGCACCCTTTTGTCAGTGACTTTTTTCCAGTAGGCATATATTGCGGAAACGGTAAGCGGTCGGGCGTGTATGCCTTTTGTAAAGCAGTTGTAAATAAGATAAAAGCAGTTCAGGAATAGGTGGTACGTTTATACCAAGTCAGTCAACTGACGTCCATGGCGAAGCCGTAATTTTTGATGCCCCGCTAAAGCCTCTGCTAAACAAATTAAAAACGACAATGCATATAATATCAGCCAAAGTTGTACAGTGCCAGGAGTATATAAAAGAAAAGTAGTTTACCGAGAGGAAAGGCAAAGGATGAGGAAGGATTAAGACTTTATGCAGTCAGTAGACGATGAGCATCGTAAGCATCATCGACCGTTACAGTTTGACGCTTGAGGTCCATAAATAGGCCAGAAGGTTAACCAAGGAAAAAATAGGACGCTCCAGCTCCGGCTTTCTATTGCTTGCCGCCTTTGTTGTTGAGCAAGAACTCCCACAGCTCTGCCTGTGTACGTTAGGTCGTCAGCAATGGCTGAACGTAAGTTCGATTTAATGCATGTCCCTCCGTTTTTATAAATTGCTTTAACTCTACTTTTGGGTTCGCTCTCAATTTGACCAGAAATGTTACGAAACAATATGGCCAGCTCTAAGCAGCTGTCTAAATAAACTGACTATTGACAACTAGCGGACACCCAAATTTAATTAACTCGACGATAATTTCAACGTCAGGCCGATGCCAAGTATTTTGAGTTCCACGAAAGACGATATACCAAACTGCAAACTTCAATCTCCCTATTGTAAATATCGCTCTTTTTTAACCTTTGCTATTACTTTGCTTCGCAACTGAGGCTTTTTCTGGCTTAAAACAAACTGCCAATTCGCGCTCTACTGGCTAAGTAGACACTCAAATCAAGTAAAGTCAAAATAATAATAATTTTTAATGCCAGTTTACAGCTATTATCGGGGAAGCTTTAAACACAACTCCGGTCAGCAGTGAAAACAACCCCTGTCGAAAAGGAGTAAAATAAAGTTGATGGTGGTTTTTATGGTTTGGAGGGTTCAAGAGAAAAAAACAGCTGACCGCAGTTGCACGGTATCGGATATTATCAGCCGCCAGTTTCTTTCATGAAGTTGGGCGTAGTCCAAACAGAAGCGCCAGAGAACGGCAGTCGCTGTCTCTGGTGAGACCGGCCAAAGTGGTCAGAGACAACAAACGCCATCTCTACGGTAGAGTCGATCAGTGGATTCAGCATTCAAAATTGGTGGGAGCTTTTCTGGATGCAAAATCACGTAAAACTCCCCTTAAATAAAAGATAATTTTGCAGAGATTTCACACTCATGGGTAGTTTTTTCAAACAGCAATTGCATTTACAGAAAGGAACCGACGATATTTAACAGTATGTGACAGAGGAAGGAATAAAAAGGCCTAACGGTGTCTGTTAAGGCAGGGGTGGACATGATGTCTTAAAGCAGTGAGTTGTGTGAAATCGTGGTGTGTGTGTGTGTGTGTGTGTGTGTGTATGGGGGGAGGTGTAGGGGTGTCAGCGGTGGGTCCACGTGATGGTCGTGAGACTACACCTAGCGTCCATTTGCTGGCACCTAACTCTCACATGTGGCTCCACGTAGCTGGGCTCTGCTCAGCGGCCACACCCCGGGCAACCGTCTCGACCGGCGGGCTAAACCAGGTGAGGGTATCCATGCGTGCACCTGCACGCGCGGTACTGTGGTCTGCGCTGGCCGGATGGATCTTCGCGTCGACATCGTCGAGACGGGGCTCTGCCTGGACCATCGCAGGAGGCCACCAGGTAAGTTCCCCCTCAGGTAAGTGCGTTTGCTTTGTTTCTTCCTTTTGTTTGTTGAAGTTCCGCGTCGTACGCTGCGCTTGCTGCCTGCCCTTTATATGCTAGTCTGTCTGTTAATAGCTAAACGACACCCTCGATGCCTGCTGCGATTGTCTGTCCGTCAGTCTATGCCACTCTCTACTAATAGCTAGGTGTTACGGTGCTTGACTTTGTGTGGTGCCCTCACTTTGTCTCTGACTGATGACTGTGTCCGCTTGTCCACTCTAGTTCTAAGTCCCCTAGCGCTAGTTAGTGTGTATGCTCTCTCCTACTTCACTCCATCACATCATCACCTCACCACCAAGGTCCCAGGCTAATTCGGGTCGTTCTCTCACTAACAAAAAGTCGTGGCCCATAGTGGAGTCCGGCAGCCGTCTGGGATAACCGGGCAGCCCTGTTCAGGGATGCGTTGCCTGCCCCCGCGAGGGGGAGGGGGCTAGAAAAGGTGCCCTAAAGATCGCTGGGAACCACGCTGTCTGTAGGCTGGCCGTGGCCGCAGACAAAAAACACACGGTCGAAACAGCCAAAGCCGAAACAACAACAACAACAATCGCTCTCTTCCTCCTCCAGCCTATTCTTCTTCTTCTCCTACTCCTACTTTTCGCCGCCGCAGTCGCCAGACTGGCAGGGTGAGCCCGCTCACTCTGGCAGCCTGGAATGTTCGTTCCCTTTTAGACAATCCGAGGAGCAACCGACCGGAACGGAGGACGGCGCTAGTGGCACGAGAACTGGCGCGCTACAAGGTGGACATCGCCGCACTCAGCGAGACCCGTTTCTCCGAACAAGGCCAACTGGAGGAGGTGGGTGCCGGCTACACCTTCTTCTGGAGTGGTCGACCCAAGGCAGAGCGACGAGACGCGGGTGTCGCCTTTGCCACCCGGACCGACATCGTGGGACGACTGCCCTGTCTGCCGCAGGGAATCAACGACCGCCTAATGAGCCTCCCTCTGCCACTCCGGCGAGGAGGCAAGTTCGCCACCATCATCAGCGCCTACGCTCCGCCGATGACCAGCCCCGACGCCGTCAAAGACAAATTCTACGAGGACCTGCATGCCCTCTTGGCGACTGTGTCGAAGGCGGACAAGTTGATTGTCCTTGGCGACTTCAACGCCCGCGTCGGCACAGACCACACTGCCTGGAGGGGAGTGCTGGGCCCCCACGGTCTCCGCGGCTCCAATGACCATGGTCTGCTACTGCTTCGCGCCTGCGCAGAACACCGCCTTATCCTGACGAACACGTTCTTCTGTCTGCCGGAGCGAGAGAAGGCCACCTGGAGGCATCCTCGGTCGCGTCAGTGGCACCTGCTGGACAATGTCCTCGTCCGGAGGCGAGATCAGCGGGACGTGCTGGTGACGAAGGCGATCGCGGGTGCTGACGGGTGGACCGACCATCGCCTCGTCATCTCGAAGATGCGTATTCGCCTACAGCCTCGCAGGAGACCACAAGGTAAGCGACCCCCAGGTAAGCTGAATGTTGCTTTGTTGTCTTTGCCTGCTCACCGTCTCCATTTCAGCAATGAGCTAGC